AGAAACTAGGAATGACAATTTATATGAAATCATGCACAAGCACTGACGATATATAATAGTAAGAACGTTATGCCAATAAAACATAAAATGTGGTAAGCTTAAAAAAGCAGAAAAGATATGTATTGACTAAGGTTCCTGAGCCAATAAAGATGCAAGTATGATAGAAAAAGAATTGGTACATACCTTCTTTCTAGTGTCTAGGTCAACTGTCGGTAATGAAGCCTTTGTTATTGGCAAGTCCTTGATGGTACTTAAAAAGAAATCTTCCCATGGTGCTAACATCAGAATGCCTGTTCCTTCCTGGCCTTTCCGACCAGTTCTACCCAGCCGATGTATATATTGTTCTCTGTCAGCAGGGACTCCCAACTGCAGCACAAACAAGCAAATGCTTTGAACAAATTCCTCATAGAAAACTGATCGCCCATTATCAACATCTATTAATTAGGAATTTTAGGTAGAAACAACTACTTGAATCAAAGAAATCCCATTTTCATTATCCATGTGGTTCTGAAAAATATATGAACCATCTCAATTATTATAAATCACAACAATATAGGCATGCCTATCCAGAGACAAGAACTTTAGATTAATCATATTCAGGCAAATATATCATATAATACAGTAATTAATGCAAATGTGTTTCATGTTTTAGTTGCTTGTCTCATCGTATCATGTCTCCTGTGATAGATTTGGATTACTCTGCTGTGAAAAACAAATAATTTATGCCAAAATTTATATTAATTTTTTATGCACCTGGGGAACTGGTGGACTATATATCTGCAACTAAAGAGTGAATGCATAAAGTTGATTCAAAAGGATACACCTATCAGTATTTAGCTTCATAGCATCTTCAATAAAAGACAGGCATAACAATATAATCAACAGATCAAATGTTCTTAAAGATGAAAGAGATATTGGCCTAAAATTTTACCTGTATAACAAGTGTGACATTGGGGTAATCAACTCCTCGTGCTGAAACATCAGAACTCACAAGAATAAGACCCTTTGACTCCTTAAACTCTTTAGAAACTCTCGTCCGATAACTCTGTGGCTTTCTAGAATGTATTTCTCGAACGTTCAGCTTTAGCTCAGAAAGAAGGTCAGCAACAAGCTTGGTCGCCATTGCAGTCGTACAAAATACAATGACCTGCAGCATTAGCCTTATTATAAACCACAAAGACAGACAAAATACAAGAAGAATGGATATGCTAAGAAGGTCCAGCAGATCCCCTACCTTATAGTCAACATTTCCTGAAATATGTTCTGTCAGAATGTTATACAATATTGAAAACTGCTTCTCAAGGGGTGCTACTAAATGCATTTGTTTAACCTGAACCACACTTCCATCATTAGTTGAACTAAATACCAGACTATGTGAATTACACTAGTGTGATAGAAGCACCTGAGAATGTGTCTCCTCAGTCCCCTCTCCAACAGTATTAACAAACTCGAGGTCTCTTTTCATCGCAATGTAACATATTTGGCGAACCTGGGTTTTTAAAAAGATAAATCAGTTAATAAGCTATATAATAACAAGAACACATGACATTGAATGTAAGCATACCTCATCTGGAACAGTGGCAGAAAATAAAAGTGTCTGACGTTGTTTCGGAACAGCAGCAACAATCTTCTCAATATCTTTTCGAAAACCCATATCTAACAGACGGTCAGCTTCATCAAGCACAAGGACCTTAACACCCATCAGCCGTGTAGCAAATCCTGGTGTATTCTCAATATGATCTCTAAGCCTTCCAGGTGTTGCTACAAGAATCTGAAAATTGATGAAAAATATTAATAAAAATTCACTAGTGAAGAAAAACTCATCTTTCCAAAATAACATCAATGTTTTACCTGACATGGGTTCGTTTGCATCCTTTTCTGTTCAAGTGCCAATCGTGTTCCACCCATAACAACTTGTACACCAATGGAGGGATGATACTTTAAAAGCTGATTAGCCTCCGCTGCAGCTTGATCTGCAAGCTCACGAGTAGGACATACAACAAGAACATTGATCGGTGGTCTTCTTTGATCACGTTCAACAGGAGGTAATTTTGAGACAACTTCAATTGCTGGAAGCTGAAACCAGGCACTTGTTCATTATCATAGACATTAGTAGAGTACCAACTATTTGCTTATGCTTAAAATGAAAGGAATCTGCAAAATGGAGCAGAGTTGTAAAGATGAGGTTTTCACCAAAAATGCCACGGTTTTCCCAGTTCCTGTCTTTGCTTTTGCAAGAACATCTTTACCTGTAAATAAAACCAGATTGTTGGGAATCAGGTCATAATCATAAAACACACATGGTAGCCAGCCACCCTACTATGACAATTATATCATGGAATCAGCACTGGTTATAGATATGTGTCGAAACTAATGCACACCAATGACAGATATGGACATAAAAAAACAGATACAGATACATTTCTGTGTGTCTAATATGTGAAGGAGAAAGGTAGCTTGGGGATATGTAGAGAAAAAGCAAGTTTGATGAATTTTATGTGGAAATTATATTTCAAAGAGAAAAGAGCCCTCATAAAATACACAGTCTGATTCTTGGGGAAGTATCAAACACATGCACATTCCAGAAGTAACAAATTGCAGTCCAGCAGCTAATAGTGGATTCCGTAAACAAATTTGAAGCAAATTGTTGGCACATGACTAACATGGGTACAGCGTGAACCCTGTGTTACAGCATATGCCATCCATCATTATGGTCAATGTACTGGATCCAATAGCGAAACAGATCATTCCATGGTGATGGACCCAACAATGAACCTGTACTCATTTTCTCATCAACTAATGAAGAGTTAGATACCAAGATTTATAACACTCTATCCAAACTCTGTTTGTTCCATAAAGCAACATGTACCAAGAAACATTGACTAGATTGAAACACCACCAACATTTATCTTCTCGGTGTTCAAAACTAAAACATAAAAGTAAAACATGTAATGATACAACCAACCTTTGAGGATGAGAGGAAGGGTTGCCTCTTGCACTTGTGTCATCCTTTCATATCCAGCTGCTTTTACTCCTCTCAGCGTCAAGGGTGAGATGGAGCACTCATCAAATCTAAAATACAGAATTAGTTCGGTTATTCTAAATCCAAAATAATAGTAGCATGAAATTTATGAACTAAATCTTCCAGCATCCCAAAACTCCACTTCATTTTTCAGAACAGGACATTTGTGCACCACACAAAGATATGTAAGATTACAGATGATATATGTGTGTATATTGACGTCTCCAATGCAAACATGCCTAAATAATTCTTCTCCACTTAATATATTCCCACAAAACGAAACAGTTGTCTTTGAGCTAATTAACTAGACAAGACAGAAGCAACCACCAGAATGCTTTCCTAAAAAGATTTCCTGAAAAGGGAAGTCCCAAAGGAAAGATGAAATCCATCAACCGGCATTATAAATGCTCAAACAATTTATGATCATACAATTTATGATTGGTTAACTTTGTTTGTGCTATCAATCAGCTTGATTTAGTAGGTAATATTTGTGCCCTCTTAAGTGGCCTTCACATGCATTTTAAGAAACTGGAGGAGATGCCAACAATCGACACTCAATTATAACATGAAAGATATTGTTAAGGCAGAAAGTTGCTACCAGCTGGCCATTGGTCTGCCTAAAATGTGAGGTTCTGAATAGAAATTACCTAGTCTGGCTCAGGTAAGAGTTATCTCCCTCTGTTGACTTTTTTGGCAATGGCTGTCCATCGTCTCCTTGCTCTTGCTTGGGGGAACCAAAATTCGTTAGTATATCTTTGGCGGACACTTCTTTTTCATCTTCATCGCTAAAAATATCATCGTCAGAAGCGGATAGGTCATGATCATCCTCAATCTCTTCGACTTCCTCTCCCTCAGATTCCAAAATAACTGACCTTCTCCCACCTATGGTTTTCTTAAACTTCGACTCACTATCTCTTCCTCCTCTTCTCGAAAATGTTGAGGGCATTGTCTGTTGGCTCCGATGCCCCCTCCTATTTTTAGAAGAAAAAGCAACTTCTTCATCATCATCTTCTTCGTCATCCTCCAAATCACTTTCAAACTGCTTCTTCGCTGGGGCATTCCTGGAACTCTGAGACCTTCCTCGATTGGATGCTCGAGAAAAATCATCAAAATCATCATCCCACTGCCTCCTTGATGGTGCCTTATCCTTTGTCGACCTAAAAGAATCACCTTTTCCGCTCCTGGACCTAAACCTATTGCTGTATCCATCTCTACCCCTTCCTTTATCACCCATGGATCGATCAGCGACTGAGTCCTCGTTGTCGCTGCTCAGCCCCAGGCGAAAGGAATCATTCCTCAGACCACTAACCCAATCGTTAAGCTCTGCTTCGTCCTCGACCAAGCTCTTCGCTTGCCCGGCGGCGCCCCTCGACTTGAAATCGCCTCCCCGATGTCCCCGTGACCCGACGCCGGCCTTCGGCCTCACCGGGCGGCTGGAGAAGGACCGGTAACCGACGGAATCATCTATCGCGGGATCACTGGACACGTAGGAAGGGCATTCGAGGCGGAAAAGAGCGGCTGCAGGACCGACGAAAGAGCGGGAGGGGCGGATAGCACCGGCGGCGCGGAGTAGGCGGAGGGCGAGGATTCGGCTCACCATGGCCACCGGCAATCCAGGACCAATACCCTAATCCTAACCCTAACCGTAACCGTGGCGGCTCTTTGTGTTCGGCAACGAAGAAACGATGACAAGTTCAAAGGAAGAGGAAGAGCGTCATCAAATAGGGCAGCAGTTGGGCTCAATTCGAAGAGAGGGTTAAGAAGGGTTTTAGGTTACGTGCGAACGGCACATGTCAGTTGGTTTATAACAGTGTTTTGAACGAATCGTTATAATTGTTTATGGCATGCGTTATAACTAAGACAAATAACAGACATTAATTTCATGATGAACGGTCTGGATCTGATCGTTATACTGATTGAATGACCATATATATGAACTGTCGACGTTTCGATGTATTATAACGGTTTTGGACCTGAGTCGACGTTACGGTGAAATGTGTCGGTTTGGTTCAATTTGCAGAAAGTTGTGCCCTAACGAACTCGTGTCTTCCGCCAATCTTGGGAAGGACAGCAGTGGAGAAGAGACTGAGAGATGGCGGCGAAGAAGACGCTGATCGCCGTGGGGTTCGAGGGATCGGCGAACAAGATCGGGGTGGGGTTGGTCGTCCTCGACGGCACCATCCTCTCCAACCCCCGCCACACCTACATTACGCCGTCCGGCCACGGCTTTCTTCCTCGCGAGACCGCCCACCACCACCTCCGCCACCTCCTCCCCCTCCTCCGCTCTGCCCTCTCCGGCGCTGGCATCACCCGTGCGGACGTAGACTGCCTTTGCTACACCAAGGGCCCCAGCATCGGCGCTCCCCTACAGGTCTCCGCCGTCGCCGCCGTCCGCGCCCTCTCTCAGCTATGGGAGAAGCCTATCGTCGCCGTCAACCACTGCGTTGCCCATATCGAGATGGGCCGGGTCGTCACGGGCGCCGAGGACCCCGTCGTGCTTTGTGTCAGTAGAGGGAATACTCTCATATCGTACAGCGAGGGCAAGTACCGGATATTCGGGGGGACTATAGACATCGCCGTTGGTAATTGCCTGGATCGCTTTGCGGGGGTTTTTACCCTGTCCAATGATCCCAGCCCCGGATATAATATCGAGCAGGTCTGTTCTTTGTATTTCTGCTTTAAAAGTATTTTTTAAAAGAAATAGAGTCATGAAGAGATCATTTTTGGAGTTTATTCTCCCATTTCTTAGAACATTACCTGAACTTTTTTACTTGCTTTATATTGAATCTAAAAATTATTTCGATTCAGGTATATTTTTAGATGAGTTTGGGTTCATTTTTTGCAAAGCAAATATTCACTCTTTTTCCTATTCATAAGATGTGTTTTTGGAATCCTGATAAGGTATTCAACAAAAAGATAAAGAAATAGTTACACAAAAGAAATTAATGGAATATCTTTCTGATGACTAATATTATGAACCACTATGTATAATAAGCATGGCAAGAACCATCCCTTGGGTCATCTTGTCCAAACAGTTGCATATTTTCCTGTTTACAGGTACAGGTTACCTGTCTTTGTAGGAATTCAGATGCAAGATGTGTCATACATGTGTATCTCAAATGCAGCCTAGAGTTTGCAATGTTGAAATAGTGGTCACATATTATAGAGTGAAAGGATCATGCATGTGTATCTCAAATGCAGCATAGAGTTTGCAATGTTGAAATAGTGGTCACATATTATAGAGTGAAAGGATCATACATGTGTATCTCATATGCAACCTAGGGTTTTCAATGTTGAAAATAGTGGTCACATATTATAGAGTGAAAGGATCAGCAATAATTCTGTGCACATATGATCTTCCAACTGTAGTGCTGATTCAATATCATTTGTGAATTTGTAAAAGAATTAGAATTGGAAGATTATTTAGACATTTTTGAAAATGTTGAAGTTGTAGATATTGATGCTTCACATTCCTTGGAGAATAAAAGAATAAAGAAAGAAAATTGATATGTCTGAGTCCATTCATGTTAGGTCTAATTTCCAGTTATTTCTGTTAATCGACGAGAAAGGATTCGTTAGTGCCTAATACAATTTTCAAGTGTGGATCAAGGCATAGGAAGCACTATGTTTGTTAGTAGCCTGGCAATTTTTTTTTTCACTTTTCGACTTTATGAAGTTCGAATTATCTGCAAAAAAATATGTCAAGTCAGTTGCATCCTTTATTTTAAGCTGCTTTCTGACATTATTATGAGATGAATTTTCACCTTACTAAGGTAGGGATTCTGTAGTATGGTTTGTAAAATTCTAATGGCTTCCTACTTATTTTGTTGCAGTACTTCTGATGTTTTACTTCATTGGAAGCATGCCTTCTTTAACTCACTTGATTGTGGCTATTGTTGAATTCAACTCGTGAAGAAAGGAGTGAAGTTTATGGATCTTCCTTATGTTGTCAAGGGTATGAATGTTTCATTTAGTGGCATTTTAAGCTATATAGAAGCAACTGCTGTTGAGAAGCTAAAAAACAATGAATGCACACCGGCAGATCTCTGCTATTCCGTGCAAGTATGCTTATTTTACCAATGTATACACATTTATGCTTTCTTGTATGGGAAAATTTTGATCATAAATTTGTTGGAAAAAAGAATTAAAGATGGCAGAATTGAGATTATGTAAACTGCAAGTAATTGCAATTTAATTGATCTTTTGTTTTGAAGCTGTGAATAACAGATGATTGATTGTGCCCAGGAAACAGTTTGTGCTATGCTTGTTGAGATCATTGAACGTGCAATGGCACACTGTGATAAGAAGGATGTTCTAATTGTTGGTGGCGTAGGATGCAATGATCGATTACAAGAGCTGATGAGAGTAATGTGCTCAGAGAGAGGGGGCAAGCTGTTTGCAACTGATGATAGATATTGTATTGACAATGGAGCAATGATAGCATACACAGGTCTCCTTGCTTTTGCACATGGCATGACCACCCCACTAGAGGAATCAACATTTACCCAGAGGTTCTGCACTGATGAAGTTCAAGCAATTTGGAGAGAGAAAAACATCCCAGAAGTGGATAATTTGCAATGACAACCATGAAGAGTAGCAAATTTTAAAGAAAAATTGACTCTTAAGGTACTATCTCCTTCCAGTGTGTGAAAACTTAATACTGCCATTTATTTTTGGACTTTTTATAAAGCTTTAGAAGTTGTTATTTCAATTGAATTATTATTGCTCCAGGGAAAACTTGTAGTGTTCTTTCTGAACCACATAATATATTTAGATGACGTGTACTTTTGACCTTTTGTAGAAAGCTTCAGAACTTGTCATTATGGTCTTTGGAAAATTCATAATGCTCTTCTGAATTACTTGAAATATTATAATAGGGGGAAGGAAAAAATCAGTGTTTTTTCTTGTTCTTTTCAATTAGATTGAGGAGTTTGGAATCGTGTTGTCAAAGAACACTTATCTAGCAAGTCATTGGTGTCAGAATGCACACCTAGCAACTTCAAATTTGTATCCTCCAGGCATCTTACATTATCCTACCGTTGCATAGATTTCTATTCACACCGAACCGGCTTATGTATATTATTTGTTTGCTTCTTAATCTTCATTCAGTTTTTAAATTTTATTCATACATTACATTGATAGTTTTGAGCATAATGACTAATAGAAGCATCATTAATGGGAAAAAGAACTTTCAGAAACTTAGCACCATTAGTTCTGGGCTAGTTTTCTCGACTTAATAGGATATAAGTAAGATTATCTGGTGCAACCTTAAGAGTACAAGTTGATTGTTCTGCTCTACATCTTATTTCGTACACAACATATTCTCGGCTCTAATAGCTGTCCTGCGTTTTTTAATCATTATTGTGCAGGAAGAACAGTATCGGCACCATAACCCATGCCTTGAAGCTCCAATCTCTCATCAATCTGTAATATATATTGCTTCATTGGCTTTTGCCCAAATGTTGTTGTATTGTTATCATGGTGACATGTGGTATCCATACAGCCTAACCAACATTAATTGACCCATTTAACTTCTTTGTTACATTGTTTCCCTTGTTTACCCTTTTTTTTTCTATCAGATATTTCATTTAGTTAGTGGAAAATTAACAAGGTTACAGTTCTTCCTGCATTCATCAATTTTCTTTAATATTCTTTTGTCTAAATCTACAGGAGATGATGAATTTATGTGGAAGTGTATAATCTTATAAATTAATTCAATTTTCGAGTCACTAAGAACTACTTTATTTGTTGTATTTATATCCAAAATTTTCTATGGTCGAGATTTTGATATATTATTAAATATTTTTATGCTTGCATATCTCATTATGAAATTTGTGCCTATATAAGATATAGGCTAATTATAGATTACTTTATCTAATTAGCTATCCTTAGTATTTAATCTCATTTATTCTTATGTTGTTGATTTTGTTGATGAAAATATCGTATGTGTTTAGTAGTAAATCGAAGTGAGATAAAATTAGTATTGCGATATTTTTATCAGTAGCCTATAAGATACTAACATGTGATGACAAGCACTATTATGCCTTAACAAAGTTAATTTCATCTCTAAATCACGATGATAATTGTTTCAATGTACATATCATTATCAAATCAAAATGATACAAATATTCTTTGCAATTGTATAAATTTAGAGAATATTTACTAATAATCCATTGTTATTCTTATAACACAAAAAAAAATCCATCTCAAACATTTATTATAGAATGCCTTAGCCCTAATTTCTACCCAATAAAACTCTATATTAACTAATAAAATCATTAGAATTACGGAGTAATTAGCGTGCTTTACCTTCGAATCAGTAAAGCACATGTGGCAAACTAATTCAGACTACTGTGGGCCCGTGACGTAAGTTGTAACAGCGGCCACTCGTGCTGTGGTTTTAATTTTCCGACACGACCGCGTCCAAAGTTGATCACGTGCGGATCGCCTGACATCGGAACGGGCTCACCTCCTCGCGCACAACACAAAGCACGGCTCGCGCTGCGACCGAAGAAAAATAAAGAGGAGCAGCAGTCCCATTTCAAAATCGAAAAGAAGGGGACCGGAAAGCCGTTCCGGTCGAGCAGGAAGGTTGGTGGCGTACTGCTGCTGCTCCCACTTCTTACCTAAATCTATCTTCGCTTTCGCCCAAGTGGTAGTCATCATTCTCCTCTCCTCTCCGATCCCGTCTATTACTTCCTCGTAGGGTTCAAATCTCATGAGACGTCTATCATCCTCTTATGTTTGTGATTAGGGCATTGTCTTGGATTCTGGATTCTGAATCGGAGGAGGTATGGGGTTTGTGGATTCATCGGCGTCACTGCTCGCCACCTGCGGAGGCGACACCGTGAAGCTCTTCGACGTCACGGTGGACGCCGGCGATCCGTGCACCCTCAGCTACGCCCCCTCCCCTGGGTCGCTAGTGAACTCCGTCAAGTGGAACCACACTAGTAAACCCCCCTTTCCACCTGTTAAACTTGCTCTTCTGCGTGCAGTTCTGCTCTCTGCTTAAGATTCGGCTACTGAGCCGAAAACACTGTCGTAAGGGGTTTTGCTTGTTTGCTTTCTGGCTAATTGCGCACTATCTGAAATGTGTCTTCGGCTCTCAATTAAGTGCACCTAGCGTTTTCTTTCGATAAAAAAAAAGGAATTCTAGTCAAGTGTCGGGCATTGTTTGCAGAAGTCTTGTGTTGTGGGATTGAAATGCCCAATTACCGACATGATATGACCGCTTTTCTCGTGTATCTTGAATAAAGCATGTGATTTTGTCTATAAAGACGATGTAGAAAGTTGATTGAATGTTGGTGCACGAGCGACCAAGATATTGAAAATATTTATTGAGATAAGAGATTTAAGGCTATAGGGTATGTGGTTTATTTATGTCTTCCCATCTTCCGAACTTTTGGTAGCACTACCAGCAATTAACTCCCGTCAGCTGTTGTTTAATGTAAAAGCTTCTTCTGTCATACGCTCTTTCTGGATGTATGACTATGAATATGGTCTCTTTACGGCTTCCGATCCAAATTCTTGCATAAGGCTACCAGCTATTTGCTTCTCATGTTGTTCTATGTGCCCTTATCCTTCAGTCAGTTCATTGGTCGTTTCTGCGTGCTTTATCCTCTTTTACCAAGCAACTATCTCAAACATATAGAACACTGAAAAGCTAATCTGTGCAGATGGATATTCCATGTGTTCTTTTCTGGGCCTTGCTATCGTGTGGTTTAATATGTATTTTTCTCAAATGAGTGGACGTATTATTTTTACCTCTCTGGAATACATTATGTAGTTCACCCAAACCTTTTAAAATCAGTCTGTTGATTGATAATACTACAAAATAGAAGGGGGAAAATGATAGAATTAATGGTAAGTGATGCAGATATAATTATAAATCTCATTCTGCTATTCGTAGGCCACTATCCTTTAAATCTTGATATTGGCAAGTGATGGTGTGTTGTGGCAGTGCACCACAAGTGGGTATGCAGGCATGTTAATCCATGTTTTGTCGTTATGTTGACGATTATCTGAAGAAACCCTGATTATGGTCTGCTTTGAAGCTAAAAAGAATCTTAAAGTGCACTTTGATTGTTATGCTTGCAGACTTGGTGGTTGCTAGTGCTGGTGATGACAAGAAGATTACCCTGTGGAATAAAAATGGTCAAAGTATGGGATCTATTCCTCCTTCTGGCAATGATCTTGCTGATGACATTGAGGTAGTTACTTGGCTTCCCAATTTTCTTTCATGGTGATTGATAAACATTTGACTTCCTGAAGACATATACATGGTTGTCATCTCATTTAATCTACTTGAATTTCTTCTGGCATATCTTAACACAATGCTGTCATTCAGCGTGACTGTTCAATGGCAATGTACTAAATTAGATACTTCTAGAGTGTCTTGTGTGAAGTCAGAGAAACTGCTTGGTTTTTAGAAATGTTAAGTTGCCAGGTAGAATTGATGAAACTGAATCAGCTGGCATCCATGGGATTAAGATGCACCTATTTACATTTCAGGAACTTAAATGTCATGGCTTCATCTGCTTTTGCAGTTCTGCTTGAAGTTACATTTAAGTTTAATTGTTGCTTTGGTATTGGCCTTCTTCTCCCATGTAATTTTTGTCTGTACATTCAGAAAAACTTGGATTTTGTTAATGGAAATTGAAAAGCTTTCATTATTTGTTTTGATTTATTGATTTTTATGCTTCTGGGCACTTTCATGAGGAAAGAAAAAACATGTATATTGAGAACTGATTGTGAATGATTGACAAGCAATTGTGATTCTTAGGTACTTTATCACTTGCTGACCAAACAACAATAGTGGTTGCTTAACATGAAGGGGTGTACCCGAGGCAACCTTACTTTTATGGGCAACTAAGTTCAGATTTTATTTTCATTCTATAATCTTGGAAAACTTCATCATGAATTATTTTATTTTCTGTGCCATAGGTTTTCATTGTAGGATTGGAAAATGCATTTAGAGTTATACCTTAATTGTTTTTTTTCTTTTTTCCTTTTTGTGCATGTGTGTGTATTTGCATGCATCAACTCATATACTTGCCTGCACTCCATATTCACTTGGAAAGTTCTCAATTGTTGTTCTCACTCTTATTTCAATCCGCTCTAAGGAATATGCTAATGGTGCTGAAAATGTTTGCACATAGAAATTTGGTACAGCCACCCTATTATTAGGTTAGTTCTTCCAGTGTTATATTTTCCTAGTCCCTACTGCATGAAAATTGAAGGGGTTGTGCATTTTACTATATCTTACTAAAATCAGTAACTAGAAACATTGAAGAATTAGTAAACTATACAGTTGCAAAGTGGTTTGTTTTACATATATCTAAGGGAGAATAAGATTTTAAACTATTACAGTTCATGCGGAGCTCACAATATACTGATGTCAGATTAATCTTAGATGTGTAAACTGCAATAATCCTACAGACTTTCATTTTTCAAGGATGTCAAATCAGCAGTTGAAGGGATTACTGTTATAGCTACTGTTATCATCTTGTAAGTTCATCCGACACTATGTTTCGCTTGCTTGAGTGTGACTGCACATTACAGCTCTGATGAACCTTCATTCTTTCTTGTGGTTGAAGCAAATTAAATTTAGTAGGCATACTGCTATTTCTTCAGTGACTGAACATGGACCTGTTGTCATTAGCTAGCCAATGCTACATGATCTCTAATATAACCAATATTTGTATATATAACCATAAGTTTGATATATCTTTTGGTGCATAATTTCTACCAAACAGCTGAGAGTTTTTTTTCCTTTATTTGCAGGAATCCATAAACTCTATTAGTTTTAGCAATAAAAGTTCTAGATATATTTGTTCTGGTGGTAGTGGTCATATTGTTAAAATATGGGATCTACAGAGGAAGAGATGCATTAAATGGTTGAGTGGTCATACTGACACAATTACAGGTGTTATGTATAACTGCAAAGATGAGCATTTAGCATCCATCAGTTTGAAGGGGGATCTCATCCTTCACAATCTTGCTTCTGGAGCACGGGCTGCTGAACTCAAGGATCCAAATGGGCAGGTTCTTTGGTTCTTTAAATGTTTCTAGTTTCTTCTATATTAGTTCCATATGCATATTTGTTTATTTATTTTATTTATTTATATTGATGTTGTGTGGGCAGGTTCTACGAGTGCTGGATTATTCTCGTTGTAGTCGGCATGTTTTGTCAACAGCAGGGGATGATGGATCTGTTCATCTCTGGGATACAACTGGTCGGAGTCCAAAGGTTTGTAATATGACTTTCTTATTCCTGTTTAGGCAGCTAAAATAGACGATCGAATGGCTCAGTCTTTCTTATGTTTGGAGTCAGATGATCTTCTTGCTTCTATTTACTTGACATTACATATAATATTAGAACAATAATGTTAATTTAAATGTCAGCTGTTAATTATATAATCAACAATAACTAGATTTTTCAGGTAAAAACAGTAGCTAAATGCTTGTTTGGATACCCTCATAGCTTATATTTGCTCTTTTTACCCGATAGGATATTTTGCTTTAAATCCAGGATCCTGATGCTTATTTTTGTATCCTCGCGAACAACTGCTTGGACCAGCATTATCATACATGGTTTTCAGATTGTGTAGTTGGTTAATGAGGAGGCTAATTGAAGATGTTAGTTCTTGAGGAGTGGATATTCTCCTCATTGTACCAAAAGATGCAAGTTTCTATGTATTACGACTTAAGATGGCATCCAGAACAGTTTAGAAGGGTTCATTGGTCTTATTTAGTATCTAGGCTTCCTGTGCACATCCAATGCGGTAGTAAATTTGGGGGCCTCAAGGTGCATGAAAATTAGATTGTAATGCATATTATGGCTGATGATGGATATGAACATGAAAGATTTTGAGTACCTATACAGAACCAAGAATCAAAAGAACTGATTAGTCCTTCTGAATGAGCTTTTTTGTCATTGGTAATGGTAGTGGAATTGATATAGCATGTCTGATTAGGGAGACACCCTAGCGCAGGCCCTTATGGGTTTGAGTTGATTTTGGTATTCAGTGTAGTCAGTCACAAGATAGTCATTTGTGACTGGATATTCTAATGTGCAATTTGGTTCTCAGGAGTTTCAAATTATAATGATTCGTCAGTGCAAATGCATTGTAACTGGGAATGAGACGATCATTTCAACCAGTCGATGGCAATTTTTTATGGTGTTTTTTATGGCTTTTTCCACCTCAGCCCGGGAAGCCAGGATCTAAGGATGGTGCATGTGAGGAACCACGGTTCAATGTGTTTGATTTCTTATAAGATGTACATTGGATACTAATATAGGACAATGAAGCCCAAATAATAAATTTTGCAAATCCTTGTGACTTGGGTTCTGAATCATGGCACTAAGCACAATGCTGCTGATGTTCTGTTATATATATCATGTCTGTGGATGTGGACTTTTTTTTTCCTTTTCTTGAAGATGGATGTCTAAAAGATTAAGAGTTTTCTGAATAGTCTGAATACATTAGCTACGAAGACTTTGGCTCGAGCAATCTACAATGCTGTTTCTTTTCACTTATTAGCCTCTATTGACCCATTGTCTTCTGATAAATCAACTCACAAAGAAGATTTGAACTTGAAATTCCATAAACCTGTTTGAAGTAAACAGAAAAATGATTTGAATTTTGATAATGTTCCATAATGCTAATGTTTTGTGATTGGCATGTTATCAAAATATTAAATATCTGCTACATTATTATCCATTGTGGAAATCTGCCTAGGTGGATATAAATCATTGGCCTTATCTTTGGTGATTGTCATAGCGAGATACTGTTCTTTACTTGCAACACATCCATACTATCAGAATATTAGCTTAGCTTACTCTGGCTTTTGGCGACAGGTTTCATGGCCAAAACAACATTCTGCACCAACAACTGGTATTTGCTTCTTGCCATCTAGCGACAAGGTATTATCTCAATCTGTAATTTTTTTCTTTTATTTCCTCTGCTGGGTAAATAATCATAACTGCATTTTACAAGTTTAGATGGATGTAAGATGCTTTCTCTAGTCACTGTAGAATGCTTCTCAAGATCATTGCTCTAATAGATGATTAATTGTTAAGACCTCCTGACATGTCCCTTTGTTCTTATAGATAATCGCCACAGTTGGTCTAGATAAAAAGTTATATATGTTTGACTCTGGGACAAAGAGGCCCACATCTTGCATGCCCTTTGAGGCACCATTCTCAGCGGTGGCATTCAATGATGATGGTAATATATTGGCTGCTGGGACGAACAATGGACGTGTAGTATTCTATGATGTTCGGGGGAAGCCTCAACCTTTCACAGTTCTTCGTGCATACAATAGCTCCGAGGTAAGTGGTCTTATATGCTGGGATTGGCATCTGTTTCATATCAAGTTGTGTCTAAATTGTTTTGCCTTTTCTGTTATCCTTTTGTGCGAATGTGCTTGTATTCATGCATGTTCTCATGTACTTGCCTGGAATTTACGTTCAGTTGGAAAGTTTCTATTATTATTCTCACTCTAACTCCTAGCAGCTCTTTTGAAACCAGCTAACATTTCTGAAGCTGTTGGCACATTAGAAATTTGCCCTAGCCACCACCCATAATTGGGTTAGTTCTCTCAATGTAACGTTCTCTCAGACAATAGACATTACTATATGAAAATTTGAAGGTTTGTGCATTGTACTATACTTTACTTAAATAATTACCAGGAACATGTGTACGACTAGCATTTATTCGTTCCAAATATCTTTGTACATGATGAGTAGCACAGAAAAGTGTTGTTTTCATTATAGGATCCATCTGGGGAACACAGTGTAAAAGATGAACTTGTACTGGTTTATTATTAGATGTGTAAACTACAATAGTCCTATGGACTTCCATGCTTTCAATGATATAAGATCAGCAATGGAAGGAATTACTATTATACCTACAGTTAACGTCTTGTAAATTTCTAGTTCTGAATGTAGTCAATGTCTTGGGTGCATTATAAAAGTGTTTCAGAAACTGTCAGCATCCTGTGATCTCAGTTTCTCCAACGCTAAGTTTTGCATGCTTGAGTGTGATTGCAGTTACAGCTCCTGAGGCACCTTCACTCTTGTTCGCTGAAGCAAATAAGTTTAAGTTGCCATTGCTGGCCAGTGCTATGCGTATGCTGTAGGTAATTATTCTACGGTATAAACAAAAGTTTTATGACTGAAAATATCTCTACATGAATTATGTCCTGATAGTTATGATGCTTGACTAGTCTTTTCACATGAAACATTTTTTCTTTGAAAATACCTGGCTGTTATAACACGGTTGTGATTATTAATGAAACATGTATTGTGACATAAACTTGTTCTGGCTTATCTAGTACCTGCTTAGTATTTCCTATTTCCACTAACAAGACAATCTGTGAAATTTTCTAAATTGGTGAGTATATATTAGGCTATGAACTTTTGCTGTTACTGAAGTTTTCAAGTTCTCTTCAGGCTGTCATAAATTTGTGTTGGCAAAGGTCAAAGCCTGTCATTGTGAATGAAAAGAATTGTACTGTTGAAATTGCTCTCCTAGGAGGAACTAGTGAAGATTCTGTGCTTATGCCGGATCCCTTGCCTTCTGTTGCTGTGTCCAAGTTTTCATCCATAACAGTGATGCCTAGTCTCCGCTCAACTTCAACAAGTGTCAGTGGATCAACTTCAACCACATCAAACCTATCAACGGCAGAAGAAACTCCTTACAGGAGTCGTCTATGGACAGGTGGAACTCTGTCAAAGCTACAGGCACCTCGGTCTTATGACTTAAAAGATGATATGGATGTTTTTTCTCCACTTGTGGATGTTCAGCCAATTACACCGTCTCTTGGGAGTTGGTGGGATGACCACGATGAAGTTAAAAAAGATAAAGAAGCCATTGATAAGAAGTCTGCACTATTTTCTTCCTCTACAAGGAGATTTCCATTTCCTGAAGGAAACACTGATTCTCATCCAATCTCAGATTGGAGATCTACAGCAACCTCAAGACAGGTATATCTATCAACATTTCTTTCTTTGAACAGCTTTAGTTTTTCTACTGCTTATTATATAACTATTTATGAAATGATATTTTTTTAGAGTCATGTGATTACTTAATTGGACAATGCTTAGCTGGAAAGCAAGTTTCTCAACAACTAGATGCAAGTGATCTATTCTTTTGATAGTTCTAACCAGCTTTCTAAGTTGTGACTTTAGGGTTAGCAGCTCGTTGGAAGTACTGGTCATTGATAGTTTCGATGCTTGGATTCACATAGTACCTTGTGGAACACTTACGATGTTTAATATGAAAAAAAGGTGTTTTGTACATTACTGAAAATGGAAAATTTTATGCTCTCACTTAGGTATTTAGTATCACTCGGTCATTCTTTCTTGAGGTTAAGGTTCCTGAAGGAAAAGGAAAATTTAATATGATGATGATTTATCTGGAATAATTTTTTGTTTCTCAGTCTTTTGTCCTTTTAGAAGGAAAGGATATATATATACACAAACACACACACACACACACACACACGTATGTATTTTACATATATGTACATATGTATGTGCATATATATATGTATGTATATATACATACATGTATATATATATTGGAATGGGTGGGTGAAATTTTGTAGGAATCAAATTAGATGATTCATCGTTGCTAAATATGCCCTATCAACATATCCAGACTCTTGACATTTTTGTTTCAGTTATAAGACTTATACTTCTTTTTAAGTTTGCTTTCTGGTTGATTCCCTTTTTCTCTGTATAATAACTCTTTTCATCACTGTTCCATGAATTCAATGCAATAAAATTGGCAGGTTTTTCCTGTCTCTGCCTAAAAAGATAGGAAGATTAGAACAAATTTTTGTGACTATCACATCTTTTTTTGATATATCCTGATTATAGTGCATCATAATTTTTTTTCAGGATGACAATTCAGTTCCATCACTGGTCGGAACAAATGCCACAAATTCAAAGAGTGAATTATCCCTTCCTCCACCGCCTGGGATTGTGTTGCCAGAAAAATCAACCAACCACCGCCAACCAAATTCATTATCTCGTTTCTTGCCTTCTGCGTCATTGGGCTCTGGACCCGTATCTGCAGGCATGCTGGATCCATCTTCAACTGTGACTCTGTCAAAGAACTCTTCAATGAATTCAACAATAGCTTCCTTGAACCTGCAAAACAAAGTTATCCTCAATGATCCTAATTCTTCTCCATTCTTGGAATCTTCATCTGTTTACCATCCAACTTCCATTTTCATGTCCTCTGGGACTAAGACGTCATCAAGTAATCTTGACTTGCAAGGAACAGTGTTGTCAGCTATTCCACGGAGAATCTTGCCATCTTCTGATAGAATTAGCACCAACTCTGCCTTCATTGAAGGTGTGACGTCAGCAATCAGTTCACCCAAATCAAAGAAAACAGGACAAGAAACTCGAGAAGAGTTGATGAGTAGCCTGTTATCAAGGCAAGATGCATCCACAGTCTCATCAGGGAGTCTGCCAGCATCCAATGTAACAACTTGACATTCAAACACATCCTTGCATTACTAATGATTTGCATAGTAAGTTGAATTTGTGCTTACGTTTTTTATCAGGTGATGCTGCCTCAACCTTTGTGGTCGTCAGGTCAGCCAGCAGATCAGCAACTAGGAACTTCTTCATTTTCGCTTCAGCTAGTCCAACGCACCCTTGAAGAGACTTTGGAATCTGTACAGAAATCCATCCATGAAGATGTGAGAAATCTTCATATCGAGCTGCTTAGACAGTTCCATATGCAGGAGGTACTTCTTGCTTATAACAAATCTAGACTTTTCTTGACTTATCTGTTTCTGCACGTATTTTAGCTGTGCATACAAGTTATCGGTTTGTAAGAATGACCAAATACTTTTTATCATTAGAACACCTTGACCTCGTAACTCTGAAATGACTTCATCGGTGTGGTGCTCTTAACCACATAAGCTTATGCTGATAGAAATGGTAGCGGTCTTGAGGGTTCCTTTCATACCTTCGCTTTCTAGTACTTCTGGAGGGAAGTGAACCAAAATGTTGTTTGACAATACTTATACCTTTTGTGGTAGGGAAATGGTAGACTTACTTCCTATATAAAATTCTTTAGGCTTTTTATAGTGTCTGAGATAGATGGTCTCATGTTCAAACGTCTATATAGCTTAAACTGTTCAAGGTGGTATTGTTTTCTTCTTTCACAAAGTTGACAATCTATGATGTAAAAGAACCGTATCTTCTTTTAAATGTATTTTTGCACTTTCTTGCACGGACTGCTAATATTTCAGTTGGAAGGACCATATCTTAGTAGTGAAAGCCTGATCTGAACCTTCAATTAGTGCCCTGATAGTTCTATTATTTATAGTATCTATTTTTCTTGCGTGGTTTGATACTGATCCTCCCTGTCATAACAGATGGAAATGTCTGGGCTGCTAAAGTCAATTCTAGAGAAGCAAGATGAGTTGATGAAAGAAGTGCAGTCATTGCGCAGGGAGAACCAGCAGCTTCGCCAGTTACTTTAAGTCCTTGAGGAATTTTAGCATAACTACGGTATTTTGGTCTTTCATCTTTCAGGTATCATCTAAATGTTCTCTTCCTGCAATTGACCCATAAATACAAAATAAAATATGTAACCTTCAGTTTGACTCGAAGCATTTGTAAGTTGGATCAACACCTTCTGTTGTTTGTGATGTGTGTATAGACAATCTCCCATTTTTTTTTATGATTGTGTTGATTATTTGAAAGGAAAAAAGAGAAGTTAAAGTGTTTCCTATGCCCTTCTACATGACTTTCCTCCACTTTCTGGTTGCTTCAGTATTTCTTTTTCTGTTTGCTTCCTTAATTTTCCAATTGTTTTTTAGGCTTTAAGAAATAGATTTATGTCTAAGATAATCAATGGCAGATTTGTGGCAGTAGAGATTCCTTATGCAACACTGCTCGGTTCCAGAACATATAGAACCTACTTGTGCTTTAATTATTTCCAAGTTGGTAGACTATTAGAAGCTATTTTTCCAGAAGCTAGTTTATCTTCTGTTTGCTTGAAAAAACACAACCAACTGATGCATCTTATGAGAAAGCCCTGTGTAGTTTCTGCCTTCTACTGTCGAGCCGAGAAGAATGCCGAGATGATACCAGACTGCTGCTCTCCTGCCTTTGTATTGACCCAAGTATATGAGAAGACTTACAGCTAAATGTTTTCTGGTGGACGGTAAAGTCATCTCGAGTAAGAAGACTCCAACTCTACCGGGTTGGAACTTTGTTTTGTTATTATTATTATTAGTAGTAGTAGTAGCAGGTAGTAAACATCAACCCGGACATCATACTAACAATGTGCAAGCCACGCGAAGCCACTCTTCGTGTCATCCACACTCCCAAAGCAAACGTGACACGGATGCTGGGCCCACAAAAGGTAACAAAAGCAAATATCTCCATTTTGCGTCTTTTTGATTAATTGCTGGCCGTTTATTAATGCTCCTCCACATGAATCATGGGTTTTGCAAGCCGTTAGTTTATTCACATATACAACACTATAATAAGCAAGCGGCGCTCCTTGGCGCCTCCAAAGGCGGTACGACCGCGACACGGTTGCCTCGTCAGGGACCCAAGGGGTGCTTAACCACTTTAATTAACTCGAATCAATCTAATCCACTGGTTCAAATGTTCCGCCGGAGTAGTTTGTTTCCTCTTGTCTAGGGATGACGAAAGCATGCAGTCATCTAATCTTTGGCGAAGGTACTGGGTAGATATCTTGAACCACAGGGACACGTCACACCTTAAGCTGCTACCGATTAAAGGTAACCACCACGTCGGAGTGGAGACAGGAAAGACTGACGAGATCAGCGGCAAGCAGTAAGTTGTCGAGTTGCTCGGTTTCTCGGATTCTTCCGCTTCGTCTGACGCTTTTGCTCCTCGATCGTGTTGTACTTTTGCAGCTTTTTTTTTTTGGATTTTTTTGGTGAATTTTTGGCGAGGCGATCAGGGGAAGATGGGCTCGAATCCTGGGGAGTGGCTTTTCGACTACGGCGGGATCGTCGGCGGCGACTCTTACGCCTCTGATTTCATCTGGGACGCTCGGGTCATCGACGATCCCTCGGCTTCGAGGTGATCTTTTTTTAGCCGTCTGTCTCCACGTTAAATGAGTATGATTTAGGTTACTTAACCAGACATTGTCGTGAACTACTCTTTTAATTGGTTCGATTATAGATAGTGGCATCGGCATTTAGATCAAGTAGGCTCTCTCTGCAGAAGAACCGATATCACGTTCTTTAGTCGATTTGATATGGTAGAGCCCTATGTTCTTTGTTGAGGTCTGGCAGCTGTCTGATCCAGTTTATTCAGTTGGTCTCCATCATCTGATTAAGCAATTAATTGCATTCTGTTCAATTGACATGGAAGGCTGCACTGCATTTGATCTCTCAATTCATGTTTATTTTGTTATATTATCTGGCTTATGAGTGACAATTGAGTAAGTTGATTTACTTGGATGTTTGAGATTTTAGGAGCCAACATTCTCATAAATCTTGAGTGCATGTTTTTATTGAAATATTACTATTGAGGCTTATAAATATATTGGTAGCCCAATCCAAAGTTTTATCATGGTACCAAAGTAGGTCATAATTTTGAATCCTGTATTTGCCCCTCTTTAGTTTGCCTGGTGTTTGATCAGTACTTATGCAATGTCCTTTCCTCTATATAGCTCGTAACATCAAACCCATTTATCAAGCTTAAACCGGCTTGCACACGAGAGGGGATGGTAAAGTTTATAAACATATTAGGTTCTTTTAGATTTTTTGAGTTACTAGTAATCTAATTGAAAATCTTTATCAATAACTATATCTCGAAATCATCTTTGGTTTGGTGTTTCTTATTCTGGTGTATCATGTGCAGCACAATGCTTGGGTTCGGTGTTTTGCACAATGAGGACAACTGTCCAAATGGTTCCCTAAAGAAAAGGTATGAAGCAACTTTCGTTTCTGTTGAGTATTCATGAGCAGATCAGTTTTTCAGTTCCGCTTAGGGCAAATGTGTTAAGAAAATCATATGTTTTTCATGAATTAGGATTTTATTTTAACTTTTGGCTCTCACCACAGAGAACTATTATTCAGCAAAACTTCTCCATGTTTATTGTTAAGTTTGACTAGTGCTTTTTGTTTTAAAAAAAACATTTTTATGGTGATCAGTGTGCCTTGGAACATGATGTGGAATACATGCATGCAACTCCTTCTGGTAAAGCAAAAATGCTTCATCGGTTTGCTTTTACACATACTTTTTGTGGTTATGCTATTCTATGGTCTTCCCAGTGTTCAATGCCATGGTATTTCTTTTATTTAGTGTATTAAGGACTAGTGCTTTTTCTGAGTGTTTGATCTTAAATTAGTTGTAGAGGAGGATGTGAAACAAATATACATACTCTCAAAAATGACCACCATACTGAAGTCTGTAGTTTGCGAATAAGCTCGGAGATTTGCATGCTTCACAAGGATTTTTCCTTCTTCTGGAAGACATTCTGATGTGAGTACTTCCTCTTCTATTTGTTCTGCAGAACCCGTGTGGAGTCATGTGCTCCACCAGGTACAAAGGCTTGCCGTGAGAAAATGCGAAGAGATAGACTCAATGACAGGCATGTTTAACCAATTTGCACTTGTTGACATGTACTTGCAAAACAGCCTGTTTGTGAGTATCTCGTTATACTCAAACTCTGATTAATGATGTTACACAGGTTTACGGACTTGTGCTCCATAATGGATCCTGGAAAGCCTCCTAAGACAGACAAATTTGCCATTTTGAGTGATGCCACTCGTCTTCTGAACCAATTACGTCTTGAAGCGAAGAAGTTTAGAGAGTCAAATGAAGCACTCCAGGATGCCATAAAGAATCTGAAGGTAAGCAATGATGTATTATTATATTCATCTCTCTTTATGGAGCTTTCTGTTCTACTTGGTTGAACAGATATGCAAAATTTAGGATTGCAATTTATTTAGAGTCACCACGATGATCATCAATTCTATAACATGGTTTATTTAGTTGGTATCAAATACCGTGAACATGTTTCTTTCAACCATACAAGTTCCTGATGCCTTTTGCTTGGTTGGCATGCCTCACAGGCAGAGAAATTGGAACTACGGGATGAGAAACTGAGGCTGAAGGCTGAGAAGGAGCAGATCGAACAGATGCTTAAAGCCATTAGAATTGCACCTCAGTTCATTACTGAACCTAGTGCCGCAACACTTCATGCAGCATCAATTGCAGCTTACAGCAAAACCATCCCATACCCAAACTACCTGCCGGCGGACATGTGGCAATGGATACCTCCGGCAGCTTTGGATACTTCTCAGGATCATGTGCTAAGGCCACCTGTTGCTTAGTCATCTTCTCCGTTATCCTTGCATCAAAATTCCTCATCATTTAACTTCTATTGGTCGCCACTGTCAACTTATCCAAAATGCTGTTAGTAATTTATTGGTTCTGTAAGAGTTTCCGAGTCCCACTCAAGCTTTGGGATCCTATGAAACTATAACAAAATTAAAGATCTTATGAAGATGGAACATGCCATAGTCTTGTTTCTGGAATTTAACCTAATGTGCCTCCAGGTTTTGCCTCTTTCTACTTTGTTGCAAGAATTTAACCTAAAGCAGAATTTAACCATTCTGCTTTGTTGCAAGCATCAGAAAGTTGACTACTCAAAGATGATAAAAGTACTAATGATGCCTGTACAACAGAGAAAACACTTTCCAAAGTTTTGCATGGATTATGAGCTGGCCTAGATCTTTAACTATGAAATATTTTTTTTTTTTATGCAGCTATCTAGTTTGTAAAATAGGGTGAAAGAGCAGCATATTCCACTTGTTGTTAAGTTTCAGTAACAATGTGGGCTCTTACTCAATTAAGCTGCTGATTGAGGTATATATTTTGTCTTTGGTTTCTGTTTCCCTAACACCTTTTTGGATCTGTGGAAGTTGGACACTTCAACTGACATCTGCAAAATCTCATTGAAAGATGATCAACTAGGAGAGACAAGAGTACCTCTACTTGCCATCATACATACATACATACAATGTGGGAATAAGTAACATAAGAAGCAGCTTCTTTCATCCAAGTAGGGTGCAGTGACCTGATTGCTATGCTGCAACTTTACAACAATAACAATAAATCATAATTATGACCCAATTTCTCATTTTCTTTAGCGTTAAGATCATGTCTTTTGTCAAACCAAAAGCATTTCAATTCTTTGTTTTTTTTCAGTTTTTTTTTTCTCAAATATCCTTTTATTTTATTGCTATAATAAAGTAAATATGTTTAATATTTAATTATTAACTATAAAAGAATGTAGTGGAAATAACAACATGTCTGGGTGGTGTAGTTGGTTATCACGCTAGTCTCACACACTAGAGGTCCCCGGTTCGAACCCGGGCTCAGACATATTTTAAAGTTTTAAATATTTGTGATATATTTTATCTCTAGATTCCCATTCCCAATGGAACCTATTATATGTAAATCTAACCTTTTCACTTTAATATCATGTTAATTTTTTATCAACGATAATATAAATATGTAAATTTGAATGAGTACATTGCACAAGATGTAAATGCATCATATACACGATGTAAATGCATCATATTTTAAATTAATTTAAAGTTTTAAATATTTGTTATATATTTTATTTCTAGATTCCCATCCCAATGGAACCTATTATATGTAAATCTAACTTTTTCACTTTAATATCATGTTAATTTTTTATCAACAATAATATAAATATATAAATTTTAATGAGTACATTGCACAAGATGTAAATGCATCATACGTACACGATATCGGGCCCTAATATGGATCTACTTCGGCCCACTAATTGAGTCCAATCATAGGAGAGTAAGTCGATGCTACACTTGAAAGAGTAAAGGAAGTTTGATAATTTTTTTTTAAATCTATAATTGTATGTTTTTCTCACACAACACTCTAAGTTTGAAAATTTTCTACAGCCTTACTACGTTCAAAGCATGTAACTTTGAAAAAAAGAATTTTGTTATGAGTAGCCTCACCTTTGCTTATGCTTGGCCACATAACCTGTCGACCCTTACGCTAAGGCGCAAGTGACCAAGGAAGGAGAGGGGACGATCGACATTGCTAACCTACATGAGGAGGCACAAGCTAATTAGGGGGTGTGCGATCAACATTACCTCCTAGCCCGTGCATGAAAGCACAGGTGACCAAAGGAGGGGAGGGAGTGGTCGTTAAGCCCAACCTGCATGCAGAAACTTATGTTATGAGTAGAGAGGAGGGGGTGTTCGACGTTGTTAGCCTACATATGAAAGCACATATGACAATGGAAAGAGAAAAAGATAGCTGACGGAGGCACAAGCGATTTGTTGGGGAGAGGGGAGAGGGGGTAGAGTGTGGTGATCGACAAGGATAAAATAATTATTTAAAAAAAATTACTTCATATAAAAATCGAAATGTAGTGACCTTTTTTTGAGACTTCACCAAAAAGAAGCATTTGATCAATCTTTTTAAAGGCAAGTTATTCGCCCGCTTTGCATCCGGCAAAAGGCTATAAAGAAGGCGAAGGGCTCGAAGATTTGGCCATCTTCGATCCATCACGCAACGTGTCTTCACCTTTCACGGAAGCCCTCTTTCGCTGATGGAACGATCACAGAATCCAATTTGGTATGCTCCTTTGTTAATTCTATCAATTCTACGTTTCTTGTGATCGCCCTGATGCCTCTTCAAAGGCCTCTTAAGAGTGAGTTCTTGATTGGGCATGGTTTCCTCGCTTGATTAAAAAACCCTCCCAGCTTCCAAGAACAGCTTGTAATCATCAAAACTGGTGATGATTTTGGCTTTTGTTTGCTGGTTTTCTCTTTTTTTGAAGGCTTTACTCTTCCTTAGCTGTGTAGATCCTTAAAAGATTGGTTCTTAGGGGAAGATCTTTGGTTTTCCGTGAAAGTCCCATGAGGTTTGAGGAGAATCATCAAAAGCGAGTGTAAGGCTACCAACAACAATACTTTCTTCAAATTGTTATGTGAACTCTGAAGTTGATCAAATAATGCCACTTGAAAAGACGACAGAAATCATTGATAGCTATTAACAAGAACGAGAGACATCAAGTATTATTTAGATTGTTCGAGAGTAGAAGCAATTTTAATTAGGTCTCGATCTCTAAGTCTTAGCTTCTGTTTATGGGTTTGGGGATTGGTTATTCCAGTTTCCATCATATCCAAAGAAAATAATAAGAGTCAAACAACTCTTGAATTATGAGTCATCAATTGATCTTACGTCACGTATAATCTTAGGGCAAGAGGTGAAGAATGATGTAGCGAATTCATGCTTAGTTCAACCAAACCATCAATCATAAGTTGGTTTAAAAAGAAAGAAATCACGACGAGGCTGCTATCGAGAAAGCTAGTGTAGTTACCATTATACATAATAAGACTATGATTTTTTTTAAAGAAAGATGATTGATAGTGGAATTATTGATGATATCTTGATCAACTTAATCGCATGTGTAAGAGTCAGAAGATGATCGAAAGGATAACTCGGGTGTTTTTTTTAGGCGTCACTTACATAAAGACCAGAGTCAAATGAATGTAATTGACTAGGTCTCTTATGTTCAAATTAGGATTAAAATAAAAAATGAAGTCTCGGGTAAATAGTAACTCATCTTGATAGATTAAACTTATAAAAATATATTATAATATAAATAAATTATTTTCTCTCGGGTCAGAATTGTTATTTTATTTATGTGACTATCATGTAAACATGGGTGAATAGCCATGGGACAAATGGAGAGTGAACTTCCTCTTATTAATTATATATATTTATATCTATCTATCTATGCGTAATTTGTGTGGTGAAATAGTTACGCGACAAGCTCTTATCTCGAAAAATTTTAATATTTATAAAATTTTTAAACCACAAGTCTATTTCTTTTTTTTTAATGGGCATTCAAGTAGAATGTTAATTTTTTTTTTTGTAATATGTATTCAAGTAAGTCTTGAGTATAACGTGGGAAGAAGTAACATACCGAGCCACCTCTTTCTTTATAGTGGCCTCATTCCTAAGTTAAAACTTTACGATAATAATAAAAAATCATAATTATGTCTCAATTTCCCAATTTTGAGCGTTAAGATCATGTCTTTTGCCAAACGAAAAGCATTTCGATTATTTATTTTTTCTTTAGTTTATTTTCTCAAATATGCTTTTATTTATTGATATCATAAATTAAATAAATATGATTATTAAAGAAATTGAAAGTCAAAAATGTCTGGGTGGTGTAGTTGGTTATCACGCTAGTCTCACACACTAGAGGTCCCCGGTTCGAACCCGGGCTCAGACATATGTTAATTTAGTTTCAAGTTACAAGTATTTGGTATATATATTATTTGTAGATTTCCATTCCAATGGGAACCTATTATATGTAGATTTAACTTTTTCACTTTAATATAATGTTAATTTTTTATCAATAATAATATAAATTTTAAATTAAAAATACATACTGACGAGTACATTTCACATAATGTAAATGCGTATCGGGCTCTGATATGGATCTACTTCGGCCCACCAATTGGGTCAAATCATATGAGTGTAAGTCGATGATACACTCGAAAGAGTAAAGTATAGTACTTTTTTCCAAAAAAGTTCCCCTAATGTTATGTTTTTACCACATAGCACTGAAAGTTTGAAAATTTTATGTAACCTTTGACTATGTTGAAAGAGTATTTTGCTCCATAATATTGACAAAAAAATTTTCAGCCTCGACCCTAACCCCACCTTTGCCCATGCTTGGCCACATAACCTATCGGCCCTTGCGCTAAGGGAGAAGGAGATGGGGTAATCGACCTTGCTAACCTATGTGCGGAGGCATGAGCTAACTAAGAGGCGTGCGATCGACGTTGCCTCTCAGCTCATGCGCGAAAGCGCAAGTGGCCAAAGGAGGGGAGGGAGCGGTCGCCAAGCCCAACCTACGTGTGAAAGCATATGCGATGAATAGAGAGGAGGGGGTGTTCGACATTATTAGCCTATGTGTGAAGGCACATATGATGATGGAAAGAGTGGGGGATAGCCAATGATAATAGCCTATGCACAGAGGCATAAGCGATTTAGGAGGGAGACAATTGACATTGCCTACTAAGTACAGAAAGATCGACAGGGCAAAGGCACGATGGAGTGTGGTGATTGACAAAGATAAAAAAATTATTTAAAAAAATTATTTTATGTAAAAATTGAAAAGCAATGACTTTTTTTTCGAGAATTTGCCGAAAAGAAGTATTTGATCAATCTTTTTAAAGGCAAGTTAGTCGCCCACTTCGCATCCGGCAAAAGGTTGTAAAGAAGGTGAAGGGCTCGAAGATTTGGCCGTCTTCGATCCATCGCACAACGTCATCTTCACCTTTCATAGAAGCCCTCTTTCACTGATGCAATGATCACGAAATCCAAATTGGTATGCTCCATTGTCAATTCTACATTTCTTGTGATCGCTCCGTTGCCTCTTCGAAGGCCTCTTAAGAGCGAGTTCTTGATCAAACATGATTTCTTTGCTTGATTCAAGAACCTTTCTAGCTTCCGAGAACAGCTTGTAATCATCAAAACAAGTGATGATTTTGGCTTTCCTTAGCTGTGTATATCCTTAAAAGATTGGTTCCTAGGGGAAGATCTTTGGTTTTCCAACAAAGTCTCATGAGCTCCGAGGAGAATCATAAAAAAGCAAGTGTAAAGGCTACTGATGACAGTGCTTTCTTGAAATTGTTGCGTGAACTCTGAGGTTGATCAGATAATGCCACTTGAAAAGATGATAGAAATCATTGATAGTTGTTAGCAAGAACGAGAGACATTGATTATTATTTAGATTGTTCGAGAGTAGGAGTAATTTTAATTAGGTCTCGATCTTTAAGTCTTAGCTTTTGTTTATGGGTTCGAGGATTGGTCATTTCGGATTCCATCATATCTAAAGGAAATAATAGGAGTCGAACAACTCTTGAATAATAAGTCATCGATTAATCTTGTGTCACATTCAATCTTAGGGCAAGAGGTGAAGAAGGATGTGGCCAATTTTTACTTAGTTCAGCCAAGTCATCAATCATAATATGTGTTGGTTTAAGAAGAAAGAAATTACGGTGGGGCCGCTATTGAGAAAGCCAATGTGGTTACCATTATACATAATGGACTATGATTTTTGTTTTTAAGAAAGATCATTAATAGTAGAATTATTGATGACATCTCGATCAACCCGATTCGATTCTTGATCGGATGTATAAGAGTTCGAAGCTGATCAATAGGATAACTCGGGCGTTTGTCGAGGCGTTGACTTACATAAAGAGCAGAGTTGAATGAGATAATTGATTGGGTCTCTTTATGTTCAAATTAGGATTAAAATTTTAAAAAAATCATGGATAAACAGTAACTAATCTTGATAGATTAGATCAATGAAAATATGTTATAATATAAATAAAATATTCTCTCTTGGTCAGTATTGTTGGTTTCTTTATGTGGCTGTAAACATGGGTGAATAACCACGGGACAAACGGAAAGTGAATTTTCTCTTATTAATTATATATGTTTATATCTATCTATTTATGTGTAAGTTGTGTGGTGAAACAGTCATGGGGCAAGCTCTAATCTCGAAAAATTTTGATATTTGCAAAATTTTTAAACCACAAGTCTATTTCTTTTTTTTTTAATTGGCATTCAAGTATAATATTGTTGTGTGATCTTTTTTTTTATAATATGTATTCAAGTAAATCTTGAGAATAATGTGGGAAGAAGTAACAAAAGGAGCCGTTTCTTTCTTCGTAGTCACATTATTCTAAAACTTTACGATAATAATAATAAATCATAATTATATCCTAACTTCTCATTTTTGAGCGTTAAGATCATGTCTTTTGCCAAACGAAAAGCATTTCGATTCTTTTTTTATTTCAGTTTATTTTTTATTGATATAATAAAATAAATAAATAAATAAACATTTTTAATTTCTTAAAGAAATTAAAAGTCAAAATGTCTGGGTGGTGTAGTTGGTTATCACGCTAGTCTCACACACTAGAGGTCCCCGGTTCGAACCCGGGCTCAGACATATATTAATTTGATATTTAATATTTCTTATATATTTTATTTCTAGCTGCCCATCCCAATGGAACCAACCTATTATATGTAATCATTATGATTTTTTTTTATCAACAATGATGTAAATAAAAATAAAAAATACAGATTGATGACTACAACATTGCACATTGCATTTGCAGTCCTGATTTGAAGGCAAATTTGATAAAATCAGACATATATTAATTTGATATTTAATATTTGTTATATATTTTATTTCTAGCTGCCCATCCCAATGGAACCAACCTATTATATGTAATCATTATGATTTTTTTTTATCAACAATGATGTAAATAAAAATAAAAAATACAGATTGATGACTACAACATTGCACATTGCATTTGCAGTCCTGATTTGAAGGCAAATTTGATAAAATCAGACATATATTAATTTGATATTTAATATTTGTTATATATTTTATTTCTAGCTGCCCATCCCAATGGAACCAACCTATTATATGTAATCATTATGATTTTTTTTTATCAACAATGATGTAAATAAAAATAAAAATAAAAAATACAGATTGATGACTACAACATTGCACATTGCATTTGCAGTCCTGATTTGAAGGCAAATTGGATTTGAGTACCGTCTCCGTCCTCTCATAGATTGTCTCCTCACGTACGTCCATAATCATTCCTGCTCTTCCTTTCCAAGCCTTTGCCACCTTTTTCTACTTCAGTTATACCCCAAAAACTCCAATTTGTAGCTCTTTTTCACTCGTGGATTCCTTGTGTTTCTAAAATTAAATCCATCAGTTAGGACCGTACGTAAAAGGTACATCCAAATTTGGTCGTCGATCATTGTGAATTGAAGTTTTATTATTTTCTAAACAAAGGTGAAAATGATGCAGATTGTGGTTGCTTAAAACACACTCATGTAAGGAGGATATTACCAAAAGGACAGCCATAAAATTAAATACTGATGCTAGTTAGGTTTATGGCCCGGCCCCCTCTTGGTCACGGTCTACTGGAGCTCCAGTACATTATACCGTGCTTGCACACGGTTTTACTATCATGATCGTTGTGCATTTGCAGAGATACTCTTACAGCCATAATACTAATGGACAAAACAATTTGTAACCTGTCCTGTCAGCGCAGGTGGTAAGCCTCTCGTGTGAACTCCGAGCTTCGAAGAATCTCCAGGGATTGGCTGCCCGTGTAAATGTCCTGCTATTACCACAACAACAAACATCAAAAAACAACAAGAAAACCGTAAAGTTCTACAGCCTGTGTAATATACATTATCTATAAATAACAACAACAACAAAAAAACGGGGTGATGACATCGTCCAAAAAGCTTGCCACATGCCATTGCATCTAACGACACGAAGAAGCCCTTCTTTCACAAAAGAAGAGGCAAAAGGACGCACGCACTAGAAGCTGAAACTTACCCAACCTTTCAGCTATGCTACAACAGTTAATGTCTCTGAAAAGTCTCATCTTAATTGAGAACTACAATCATCGTCTCCAGTTCGTATGTTGACTGTCTGTGGAATGAATCCCCATGGTGCTGCTACTGTTCCTGTGATCGGAGTCAACATCCACAACATCAACCAGTATCGATGGACACATTGCTTCCAAGAAGTTAAATCCTTCGGTCTTCATCACCGCTGCAAAAAGATGGGTGTACAAACTTTGGAAAATTAGAAATACTTGTCATTCTTATCTCATTCCAAACCATATCTATCAGCTGCAAGAAATAAATGTTGTATCATTGTCGTGAATGTGTACATTGAAAATGAACTAGTCAACTCATGAACATCAGGAAGCTTGTCCGAGTATATAAAAATAAGCATCGCCTGCAGCAGAGTAAGGAACTTGCAGAAGTTGGACATGCAACTTGCAGTTTATTGCATCTGCCAATTGCACCTTAGATCCATGCAAGGTCAGTCGGGGGCATCATGGACTATCAAACTCTCCAATGGAGATCATGGTGAGGGGAGATCGATTGCCAACACCATTGACCTGGAGTTCTCTGCAACAATCAGTGCCAGTTCAAACTAATGCATAGTAGCAATTGATGAAGTGTTGTACTTTGCATAGCCATGAGCCACACTAACTACAAAAGAAAGGGAACATCTATCGGCAACATTTCCCATGAGGACCAGCACCGACTGAGTTAATCCAAAGAAAGTCTCAACAAGTACCTAAACACACCTTGGGTTTCGACTGCATGGAGTTTGAGCCAATCCAGATGCATCCACCAAGGCAAGGAAAGACAGTTTTGATCCGATAGTCATAATACAGCAGGCTAGTGCTCAAGGACAACAAGGCCTAGGATTATTCAAGGACAACAAGGCCTAGGCTAGTCATTTTGGGTCCTAGCACCAAAAATGTTAGTCCAAAAGTTAATCGTCAATTTGAATTTCGAAGACAACCCAATCTAGCTCCAGTTTCAAAACTTAGCGCACTTTAAGAACCATCCAGTGGCATGAACTTGAGAATATAGGGTCAATAATGAAACCTCTAGTTTGAACCAAACCTCTATGCTTCCTCCTGCAAGAGAAAAGAGTTGTTGGAAGCATTCCCACAGAGAACCATCCAATGCACAAGTTAATCAATACTCAATACGAATAAATATCCAACGTGAAAGGAAAGAACATACATCACGTCAGAAGCATGGGATCCCTCATCGCTTGTGATTAAGAACCAACCTTATTATTTTGGTTCATGCTACATGGCTGATCCAATCCACCTATTTTATTGTTTTTTTTTATAGACTGGCATCCATATGTCAAGTCTCATAGTGCAATGAATATTGCCCCTATCAATAGTATATTTTTCTTTGGTAAATGAGAAGAAAGAATTTGTTAGGAACATAAGTTCATACCTTATTCTTTCACAATAATTTGTTACAACATGCTACTTCTCTGTTACAAGATTTTTCGACAACAATGTCCAAAACTATGCATTTTCTTTTTCAATTTGAAGTATGCTATCAATTTAGGCAATGGAAATTGAGCTAGGTTATCCATAATCAGATATCAAGAACAATCCATAGCATGTAAATATGTTAATCAATTCTTGGGATGTAGAAGGCTATGAAATTGAAAAAAAACATTAACGTAGTACACAATTTGTATCCAAAGGCTGACCTTGCGCATGCTCCGAAAGCTCAAGCACTATAAATATAGCCATTGAGCGCAAGTAAGCCTAATTGACAGAACTCAGCAAGAATTATTGAACTTTTAAACATATTGAAACAAGATTCCGAAAGAAGTAGGAGTCACAATTATCATATGCTCCAAGAACAGTCAATACAGGCACAGTAATTATATTGGTCACTAAATTATATAAAACGAATTAGTGCAAACAAAAGTACTTTCCAAAACAAAAAGAGCAAAGGCCAAAGGGATTACAGACCAAGATAATCTCAAAATCTTCTGCAATGTGAATCACATCCCAAAAAGGAGAGGTTATTTCTCTTTGTAAAAGAGAAGCATATAAAAGAATCTTAAGTATGCAGATGAAGTGGTAGTAATGGTTGCATTTTCGTTTCCTTTTAACTAAATATGTAGTTACATGAAGGAATCAATTCAATGTTGCATTCCACTATCCAATTCAGAAAAAAAAGACTATTATGATCCAGATGTTTATTTGAAAGTACCACAACTTCTAAGAGCACAAGTGTCATATTCCTCTTTAAACACAATGTGCTATTAAATGCTTCTGAATAAATGATACAGGGAGCAAACTTGGAAGCTTCTATGTATTACCTTGAAACAGGAGGTTCCACATCCTCTACAACTACTCTATCCACATTAGGATTCCCAATAAGGCCAAAAAATTGGGCATTAAATACTGGAGAACAAGCAGCGAGAATCTGCTTGTGTGCTTGAAATGTCTCATCACCAACCTCAAAAATTATGTCAGAACCAATGCCAGATTTCAACAGCTCCTTTAGACACTGACCCAAGTCTGATGATGGTACATTAACAGAAAACTGGTTTGGTGATTCAGTACAGTTTCTAACAACACCCACTGTACAATGCATTATCAGACAATCATCATTGAGGTACTCTGATGATTCCAAGGCTGTTCTTCTGTAAAATCGATTGTAACCCCTAGTTAAAAAGGCAAATAGTTAACACAACTAGAACACCTAACACTAATGAGAAGGGGAAACCCTACATCGATGAATAAGATCTAAATAAGAGAAAATAATGCAATCATACATGCTAATCTGTTTTTGGTATTTGACAAATCAAGCTCAAAGTGATTCTCTTAGTATCAAACACGTAACACCAGAATTCTTTTAAACTTATCCCCTGTTTGTTTCTATTACAAGAAGAGAAACTATCTCTAAGTATAAGAAAACAAATTAGAATCCATGAAGTCTCTAGTCTACAAACTAAGAGGTGAAAGTTGGCATCCATTACTAGCCTCATATCCGGTCAAATATATCATGATGTGAGATAATTCAGGACAAAAAAGAAATAATTATGACATTATCTGGCAGGAACAAGAAATGGATGGTATAGTCCGAGGAGAAAAGATTCGCGTCCATACGATTCCTCATGTGACAAGATGAGAGAGACAAGAAATGAAAGATTCTTTGAGCATGATGGCACATTTCCATCTCGACAGAGCCAAGAACAGGACTCACCACAGTCTCCGCCCACCCTCCAACGACCGCTTGAAATGACTGTGCACCTTGTGGCGGCCCTTGCAGCTCTGATCGATCATGGTGATCTCGAAGACCGACCGCACGTTGGTCCCCTCGCTGGCCAGGGCGATGAACACGGACACGTAGCGGGAGTTGTCCTTGCGGCTCTTCCCGTCGAGGTAGAAGTAGACCGCTCACTGGTAGCCTCCCACGCGAAGGTGTCGCTGGACACGTACTTACCCGGGCCCATCCCCTTCGTCAGCTAGAACCCGATGACGGTGTACCGGTGCTACCCATTCACCGTCTCGCCCATCGTCTTCGACCGCGACACGCTGAGCCGGCCCCTCTGGCCACGGACGGCCTTCGTCATCTCGTCCCACAGATCCGGGTTTCCGAGAACCCCCTCTATCCCGGGATTCTTGAACCCTAACCCCAATCGAAATCTCCCCGACAAAGCGAGAGAGGGGTTTATTATTTATAGGTAGAGAAAGAAACGTAACAGAAATCGAAATGTGTCATGAATAGGGAAGATGCAACACCTCCAACCACGCTGGAGTCGAACCCGTCCTGATCACCGCACATGACTCCTCTGAGCGCACCATCAAGTGAAAACACGAATCTCAAGACAGAATTCGAAGCGGATGATCCAAAAGGAAAGAGACTTCGACCCTGGTTTGGCCACAATGGATTTGGGTCCGAAATAGAAGGTTGAACTACGAGACAAACTCGACCAGATTTCAAATGTCCCGTTGGCACATAATCAAATCTAATTGATGCTGCTATAAAACTACTCGGATCTCAATCCTGAAACAAATGTGGTCTTTCGCTAACATGCATCCGTGAAATCGGATCTCAATCTTAGGGCCCGCGAGTTTTAGACCTGAATCCGGTTTGATGCCAACCAAAACGGTAGATTTATGATTTATCGGTTCCGGTTATCAGACTTGCACGTTCTGATTCGAATATCCGGTTCATCAATAAATAGACCAGTTTGGAGTTTTATCATTTTGGGTCCGCAAACCCGTGAGGGATTTGGGTTTGGATTCTAAGTGGAAGTAACCCGGCTCTGAGATGACGACAAACAGACGCACAGGATCCGCTAGGAAGTACACGTTGGCTTTTTGAAAAATTAGAACACGTCCCACGACGATTACAGACGCGAGACCAGAAAGCACGCTCTCTACGTGGGTCCCGCAGCTTTACCGCACTGGCCCAGCGATTTCTACGAATCAGTGCACGGATAGGAGTCTAGGGTGTATAATGGGAGTGTCCTCGGGAAAGGTCCAAAACGCTACCACGAGGGATGACAGACTGTCGACACAACGTCGCTTTGGAGCGGAATCTATTGAGTCGAGCTCTTCCTCGACTTCTCCACCTGAAGTCTGGCATCGACGTCGCCGGCGATCGGCCCCCAACTCCATCCATGGCGTCTCTCCTCGATTCATGTTGGCTGGTGCTCTCTCTCTCTCTCTCTCTCCTCCCTATTCCTCTTCATAGTGTAGTGTTTCGGATCCGTTCGAAAATGGAGACGGACAGTGTAGCGACGAATTCGTTTGCTTGAGTGCCTTGCTCCTTTTGGCCTCTGCGCTTACTACGCCAGATTGTATATTAAGTAGATTGTGGTGACGATTTGGTTCACGGTTGTGGTTCTGTGATTTCACCTTTCGGTTGTCATGGAGGGTTTTCCCTGCCCTCTGCGTCGCTTGACATGTCGAAAGAGGTACTATCTGGTGAAAAAGGTTAAGTATGACACTGACACGAGGCTTGACGTGATAACTAGCACGATTGCTGGTTTTTTGCTCGGTATCTGTTGTTATTCTGAGAAGAAAAATGGCTGAGGCCTTGTTTTCTTCACTTGGTTCTCTCACTTTGTCAGATGACACGCGAGAGATTTGTTTGGGGACTTTTCAGGCGCTGGTTGAGGAGTTAGGGATTTCCAACTTGAAAAGTCTATGCTTTCCATATTCTAGTTGTTCACATGATCGTCGTTGTAGGTTTTCCTTCTAAAAGTGGCTAATGTGCACCCTGTTTTGGATTTAGGTTTTCCATATGGTTTTTTCTGATGGAGTTAACCTGTCACTCGTATAAGTTCAATTTTCACCGTGGAATCTAATTATGTAATACTACTTTCAGCATGTTAAAATTCTTCGTTGCCTGTCCATTGCTAATCATAAGCTTCATGAGAGGTCTTAAAAGGGTTAACTATATTTATAAACTGGAACCTCTCACCTAGTATTGGTTTCTGTTTATAATTTGTTACTATGAATTGAATAAAATGAAATAATTAGGTGGACAAGAATCCTTGCTTACTAGTAAGAACCAAAGTGATTGATGGTATAAGTTCCATTTAATATACATCATATAGGAGCAGCATGGACTTGCTTAATTGAAACTTTTTAGAGACTCTACTTCATTTATTATCTGGAAGGATAATTATATTCTGGATTTTACTGCTACCATGTCAATGGTTTAAGTTAAGATATGATTCAGCTAGATGTTGCAGAGTCATGGAGCAGTGATTGATACACAGAAAAGGCTGGCATGATTAAGGAAACATTATATATGCTTGAAGATTTAAATCTATCTACTCAGTGTTAGTTCTTATTGTCTAGGGACATCATGCTAAATAACAAACTGTTTCACAGTTCCTTGATGAGCATGGTATAACTATCAAGAACATATGCCACTAATGTTAGATGGTGACCAGTAGCATCTGAGGCAAGTTTGTCATTGGACTATTAGAAGCTTGAGAGACATAAGAAAATATTGGAATTTATACTTTTGAATTCATTATTGTCTGGAAAAAAATGCAAGTATATCTGTTTTAAACTCCTTGCCTTTCACAGTTGTCAACATGCATGGTGGTAACTAAGAGTTGTTGGCATCTTGTGAAGTTTGACTGCAGAAGAAATGTTGCTCTTGTTTTCATTGGATTGTTTACTTATGTTGACTTTTAGGCTATATTGCTACTGAAAGATTCAAAACTTGAAAAAGAGACACTACAGGAAGAAAATGCATGGAAATTAAACTGATATCTCTAGTTGGCTTTCTTGAGGGAATTCTCTGATGCAAGTTTAATTGGTGATTTGGTCAACTTTCTTAAAGACTATTAAATATCGGCAAAAGGATTTTGGATTGTAAAATGGTACCAGGTCTTTCTCACCATCATCTGTATTTTCCTTTGAGGTGTTTTACTTGCTTTGAATTTGTGAATTCGTAAAAATTCTATTTGTCCTCTCATTGAATTAATTTGGTTGAATGACAAAATCTTTTCTATGTATAGAACTCTTTCATTGATGAGTTCTTAAGGAAAGTGAGATACATGTGTTTTTTTGCAAGCATGTTTTACAAGGACCAGTCTGTTTTCTTGTACTTTATCTGCAATCATGCATATTTTACTTTGCATTAGCATATGAATCTTAATATTTGTAATTATTACTCATTTATTTTGTTTGTTCTTTGTTATGCAGTATCTTATCACTCATTTCAGTGAGTTCCAATTAGCAACTGTTGGCACTTTCTTAATTCATGAAAGTATCTTTTTCTTATCTGGACTTCCATCCATATACTTCGAGAGGTCAGGACTTTTCAGCAAATATAAAATTCAGGTTGGTCATCCTAACATGCAGAGGTCTACCTCTCTTTCTTTTACTTTTGGACTCTGATAACTTTCTTAAGCGCAAATTCACAGTAATTACTTTGTGAACAGCCTACACATAACATCCTTGTTTGACATCGGGCCTTCTTGATTGTCATAATTGATAAATTTGTATGACTTTGCGAAGCTTTTTTCTTTTGAAATATTTGGTCATTGATGATTGCCTGAGGAATGTGGATTTAGTGATAATGTCTGCAATAAATAATATGCTGTCTATTCTGAGTTCTATGGTACTCGTACATATGCATGTGCTATCAGAAACCTTGAGTTGTGTGCATCTACTGGACTTGTTCCATGATTCCTCAGATATGCCATTAACCTGAACTGTATTGGCTTCTTCTGTTTTACGAGTATTATATCTACATAGCATAATCTCTCCCAACCTTTGTGTCCATTATTAGATAAATTTAAAAAGAAAAGATTTTGTTTCTATGAGTTATAAATTGCATCTCTGCTTGTCACTACATCTTAATGAGCCATGTGTCTTATTTTTTTCAGAAAAAGAGCAACACTTCAGAAGCGCAAGAGAAATGTATTGTGCGTCTAGTCTTGTACCATGTATGTGTCAACTTACCAGTTATGCTCGTCTCTTATCCTACTTTCAGATTCATGGGTCTGAGAAGCAGTCTTCCATTGCCACACTGGTATAGCATCGTTCCTTTAAAATGCTTTGGAAAAACTTTCGAATGTCAAAGCCACATCACAAATCAGGTTCATGCATTTATATGTGTTTTTTGAGGTTCTGAGCAGACCAATATTTATGTGAATGACTTTTAAAACGTTGATTTAAGCTGAAAACCCAATTGATGGAACATGATCAGTGTAATATGGCTAGCTTTCATGCTTTCTTATCTGAAGCTTTTGGTTGTATATATTTTCATGTAGGTCTGTCATCATCTCTCAAATTATCTTTTACTTCATCTTGGAGGATTTCGTGTTCTATTGGGGACACCGAATACTGCATACCAAATGGCTATACAAGCATGTTCACAGTATCCATCACGAGTAAGTGCAATGGCTTCAATAGAGATCCATTTATGAGTTCTTTATCTTACCAATGTTTTATTTGCAGATATGCTACACCTTTTGGACTGACTTCAGAGTATGCCCATCCTGCTGAAATCCTGTTCCTTGGCTTTGCCACAGTTGTCGGTCCAGCTCTAACTGGCCCTCACCTCTTTACTCTGTGGTTATGGATGATATTGAGAGTCTTGGAGACAGTTGAGGCTCACAGCGGATACCACTTCCCATGGAGCCCCTCAAATTTCTTGCCTTTGTATGGCGGGTGAGTTACATCATATTTTCAGTGTGCTTTCAAAAAACAAAACCTATTAATTTATTGGCGTTTAATTGATTTTGCAGTGCTGATTTCCATGACTACCATCACCGTGTGCTTTATACAAAGTCGGGCAATTATGCATCAACTTTTGTTTACATGGACTGGTGAGTACTATCTTCCTTCTGTTTGCACAATATATATATATATATATATATATATAT